CCAATAACATGTTCAAGTCTCTGCAGTAAGATGCTGTGATCTAAGAGGACAAGTATGGAGACAAGTCCTTTGTCCGAGGCTAGGAGAAGATCATTGGTGACTTTCACCAATGCGGTTTCACTACCTACTATGATGGACTCTAAATCCTGGCTGAAAATCCTCAAACAAATCATTCTTGTGCAAGTGGTCACATAACTGCTTTGCAACAGCTTTTTGAAGGATTTTGGAAATAAATGGGAGATTGGATATTGGTCTATAATTAGCTAGGACACCTGGGTCAAGAGTAGGCTTTTTGACTGGAGGTTTAATTACTGCAACCTTAAAAGCCTGCAGAACACAGCCTGTTAATAGAGAGAAGTTAATCAGATCTGATATGGACGTGTTGATTAGGGGCAATACGTCTTTGAGCATCTTGGTCGGGATGGGGTCTAAGAGACATGTTGATGATATAGATGAAGCAATTGTTCAGGTAAACTCATTGAGATCAATGGAAGGGAAGTAGTCTAAGTATAAATGAGGCCAATGTACTTGATGGCACATCTGTGAGAGCTTTGGGAGTGGTCCAACCAATTTTTTTCTCTAATAGTTGTGATTTTATTTGTAAAGAAGCTCATGAAGTCATTGCTGCTGAGATCTAAGGGAATGTTAAGCTCAACAGCACTGTGGCTCTTTGTCAGCCTGGCTACAGTGCTGAAAAGAAACCTGGGGTTGTTCTTATTTTCCTCAATCAGTGATGAATAGGTAGGTAGGTACTTTATATAGTAGGATAGTATGTTCTGGCACTACAAATGGCTTTTCTATGTTATTAAACTATCGTTCCAGGCTATGCAAAACTCTTGAGCATTTGAGATCCATATGGAAAAACACAGCACATCATTTAACTCTGAGACTGGACTGATCGCAGAGGGAAACGTGTGTGTATGTTATCACTTCACAGCTTCCTCAGAGTGGCTCCTGTCTGAATTATTCAGCCACTATCAACAGTCTCCACATTTGTTCTTTATGATTCCCCCTCTCCTATCCTGCACCTCTACACTCCTTCACATTTGTTTGTTCTTTAGTCTGCTGGGCTCTCCTTCATCTTCACTTCTTCACCTGCATCCTCCTCTGCTCTGTTCTTTCTGCTCTGTTACCTCAAGTGTTAAATCATTCTTCCCCTGTTCCATTTGGTCCTGAATCTTTCCTCTCAACTTCTCGCTCTTTATTTATCCTTTCTGGGCTCTTTTTTCTGTTTTTCTCACTCCTGCAATTGTCCTTGTGAATCATAATGAAATCGGTGAGATAGCAGTGTTTTATGGGTAAGGAAGCGATGGAAAACAGAAGGGGCTGCCAGACTTGTGAATCTATCTGTCACCACTGACTCATCCAGTGTATCTTTGTGGGGTTACTCGCACTCAGAATAATCTTTTCCATTTTCACCTCAGCTTGCTTCCTTTTGTCAGGTATTGAAAGGTGTTACTTCACCTTTCCTTGTCTGTCCTTCTTCTCTGTTTGTCATAACTCTTTTTTTGTTTGTCCATGTGTCATGTACCCATGGTGTAGTCATTTTGCTGATGGGAGGACCTGGGTGGTCACTCCTTTCTGACAGAGGAGGAAATGGCAGACCACTTGGCCAGTAAGTGAGAAGTGAGATGGTAGGCTAAGCGGTGTCTGTCCTGGCAGTAAAATAGATTAGTCCTGTGTAATCTGCTGTTTGTTCGATGAAACATGTGATTACAGTGTTGAGAGGAAACAAGATTTCCCATTGGAGCCGCAGCTTGTCATGGTTTGTGTGATTGTGTTGAAACTTAAGAAAAACAATGCCTACGTTCCCCATGGTGAAAACAGTGAAAGTTTAAACAAAAGACTGGATTCTTCTTTTTTGACAGCATCTGTTTCTTTTTCTCTTGTGTTAACCTTTTATTGAATTTGTTTCCTCACTCCCTAACACCTTGTCTCATCCTTTTGCACCTGTGTTGATAGTGTTAGCTCCAATGTGCTGAGCTTTGTGATCATGTGACATCAACCCACACGACCTCCACCTCCGTCGCTATCACCTGTGTTGCAGCTGCTTCCTTTTCTTAAAGGGCTGGTAACTAAAGTGACAAGGAGCCTACTGAAGCTTTCAGAGACATAATGCAAAGAGTGCTTTTGCTTGTTGGAAAGGAAAATTAAAAAACCCATCCTGTTCTTTTATTTTGCTCTGTCCGAAGGTGCTTTCTGTGTCCAACTGTCCCAGAATTCTGGCTTTCTTCCTATGCCCACCTCCTCCTTCCCACTCCTTCACCCTCCTTCCCAAGAGCTAGTCCAAACAGGGCACTAACACTAAGATGCATGATTTAAAGAGACATCAGTAACAACCATTTTATTTACATCACTTCTCAGTACTCAAGTTATTTGCTAATATTTACATCTGCTAACCGCTGAAAGGATTAACTCATCATTTTAAACACTTAGTTTCACACTTTCCAATATGTCTCAGCAACATTTGCTCCTTTAATGCATCCCTAATTTTCATTTCCTGTCTTGTCTCCTCTTCTCCTGTGATCTCCTGCCTGCCCTTGCTGCTTGTCTCTGACCCTCTGGCTTTTCCTCTGTCCCTCTGGCCCCCTCTGCTGTGGTGGGTGTGTAAAAACAGCCTCCAGAGGACAGGACCTGGGTGTACTCTCCGCTACACTATGGCTCAGAGTCTAAGGCCCTGCCAGATGGGGATTGGGAAAGAGAGACAGTAAGTGAGAAGCATTGGACTAAAGTATACAGGAAGGGTCCTTAGACAAGGAATAACATCAGTTTGGCGGTGATTGTTCATCTGGGAAAACAAGAAAAGAAAGAATGAGTGGTAACTGTATCCTGTGTAAGAAGCATCTATAGTAAAAGCAGACAAAGCCTCTCAGGTTCAAAATTCCATTTCTATTTCAGAAACCTACCTCTACATTACAGCATTCATTTCTCATTGTTAAGTGAGTGGAAATGTTCAGTGACTGCCTGCATGACCATTTATCCCATGACCAGCCATCCTGTGTCCCTCCAACAACAAGCTGCTCAGTATTTACTGCACCACTCTATCGGCCTGCATGAAGCTGTTACACTTGTGCATTACCAGACTCCCGCACCTCATGATTATACTTGCACATGGACATAATTTTTTAATTAGAAGATGTTGGTGATCTTTTTAAATCCATTAATATATTTGTTTTAAGCATTTATGATAGGTAAATCTGACAAACTGGACAGATAAAGTGATAAAAATGTGGCTCCACATTGCTTGGCTCTGACTGTTTTCCCTTAGAGGTTATATATGAGGTCTCTGGAAGGCTGCTTGTCTACTTTGTTCGGTGTAGCAGCATTTGCCATGCTGTACTGCATGACATTCTTATCTGACTCATTTTGTTTTTCATATTCTCAGACAAGACAGCTAACACTAGGGATGTCCGAATCAAGGTTTTCTTTTCATGTGTGACAGAAGGTGTGAAAAATATCCCAAACTGTCTGCCAAACTTCTTTTATTTTCCAGTTCCATAATTTGACACTGCAGATCTGTAGGCCACTTGTTACTTTTTGTGAAACAGTAGCCTCTCAGCCGCGGTAGACAATGTCCATCCCAGTGAGTTAAAATACACAATGTGCTTTGAGTTGCATTAGAATTATGTAGTGAGTACAGATCAATAACAATATTTCTTGCTGGTTCAAGACATCCCTACTTTGCAGTATTAGTTGTTCTAAGATAATTCTCTTAAAATGTATTAGATGTGGGGTAAATGCAAGCAGACTTTAAAAAGCAGTACACAATAACTTACACTCACATAGTGTCACTTTAATGTGTAATGCATGAATACATCTACACTTTCCTGATTTTCAGGTACTCAGGGGTGTTTGTCATGTCTATGAGATTTCACCTGGCCTTATCTATTCTATTTTCCTGTATCCACAACCTTTTAAAAATGAAATGTGATTAGCTGACTCAGTGTTTTACCATCATTAACAAATAATGCATGAGCAGATACATATTTTACACCCCAGGGAAATAAAACTGTTTGATGTGGTCATTCTTTTTGTCTGTCCCTCTCCAACAGTAAAGCCTGTTCTCTGACAGAGAGGAGTGAACATGTGGGTGGAGAGGACTCATCAGTCCAAAATCCAGATCTCAGTGGGCTCAGCAGGATCTCTGTCTGATCCCAGGATTTTTGACACACATACAGAAACTGAACACAATGAGAGAAAACAGGGACTAGAGTACGGGGGGGGGCGTCCTATCAGTGATGACATCACTGATTTCCAACCATTCCCACCTTTCACCTGTAACTATTGAAAATGATATCATTGTGTGACATAATACATATGTGTCTGGCATACATGAAACACCATAGTAATGTAATGTGTATTGTTTCTGTTATAGAAACACAAGCACAGCCCTCCCAACAGGATCTGGTATGCCCACTCACTCTGCAAAGCAGAACTCTTCTTCTTTAACATCAGTTTCACATTAGACTAAATACAACAATACTACCTGAGCTTCTGCTGCCATATGAGAGTCAGTCAGAGGATCCAAATCAAAGCTCCATCAATTTCGGAACACTTTGCTGTTACAAGATATTTACTGAATTCTTCCATAATTGACCCAGAAGTGAAAATGAATTCATTTAAGCTGCAGATTATACTGACCCTACAATCAGCTCCCTGCTGCCATTAGAATGTTCTAAATGAAATGCACGCTGGAAGTCATAGTTAACTTCTCATTTGATCATTTTTATGTACACAAGTTTGTACTTTTGATGTGTTATGAAAGGGCCTGATATTTTCTGATGTAGTTGTACAGAAGACTTTCAAGTCCATCCAAGCTCTGAAAGTGCTCCAACTTGGAAGTCAATAAAGAAAATGAATGGGACTGAGCACCACAGGTAACTCCTCCCCCCTCACAGTTCAACTACTTAGAATAAGCCCACCAACCCTTTTTGTACAGTATGCCACACACAGATTTCAGTGTGCTCACTGAGGAGTGAGTGGTCACACCTGTGGAGTAGAGGACTCTGCTTGCGCTCATAGAACAGGAGTTCCTTAAGTGAATAAAAACAATGATGAGACATTTTTGAAATAATAGAATAATTTACTGTAAATGTTTTTGAAACTTTTTTAAAAAAAATTCTTCAGCTATTTTACTATTGTGAACATTTATTTATTTTGTCTGTCTGTATTTTATTTAAATTGTCACTTGTTGCTGGTGTCTTTTTTGTTTCATTTTGCATCCAAAGATTTTCTTAGTCATTTCATCACTGCAGCTTATAGTAGTTTCCCAGTTTTTTTGTACATTTTTGTTGTGTAAATTCGGTGTTAGTATTTTGTTCACTTTACCTCCTGTGAAAACGGCTGAGGCTTAGGACTACTGCTTTCAAATAAGAAGGCAGCACTAAGGCAGCAGACATTGTCAGTCATTATAGTAATCACCACATCATTACAATGTCTTCCAGTGGTGCCCTATATTTGGACAGACACACACAAATTATTTGTAACAACAGAATTTCACATTTTTCTTTTTTTTTCAAGTGGAAGAATCAGCTAATCAGTAACATTTGCTTTTTCTGGTCATCCTCACAATAAGAAATCAACTGACTGGAAATTTCAAATGTTTGTAGTTGTAGAGCGTCAGCTGTAGTACTTGCAGTCACTATTGTACTTGTTATCTGTATATTTGAATGAGCACACTACATTGCAGTGTTGACTTGGTGTCACACAGCAGTTTGTAAATGGATCGAATTGTTGTTTGCACTTGAGGACCTGAAGATTATCTAGTGATAGAGGCCAATTTAACATACGTCATGTTAACCAGACATCATACATTTCAGTTTTTAGGTATGAGTTTCTGTTCACACAGGTTGATGCTTAGCATTGATTTTAGGATTATCACGTGTGTGTTGGTGAAGTCAATCACAGTCATTGTAGGGTTAGAGTTCACTGTTCAACAAAGTTGAGTTTTTATCTAACTTCAGAAACAGTTGCTTCAGTTGATTGGTATGTTTCTATGTGTGTTTGCGTGTGAGGGAGGACACATCAACTTCTGACAGTGTAAAATATAAATCAGCCCATTTTCATCATGTGCAGTGGCCAGTTCTAATCAGTTTCTGTTGTTTGTCAGATGAAGACCATAGCAGCAATATATTGTATAGTCTAGTCTTTAAGTTCATTTTAATTGCTTTATTGAGGAAGTTTTTTGTGTAGGTTGATTGTTTATATTTTTTCACTTGTGCCGTTGTATTTATTTTTTCTCCATAATTGTGCTCCTAGGAATGTGTACATACAATTATAAATACATATATAAAGATATACAAATATATTTTCCATTTGAATTGGAGAATATTATTTTTATTTGGTTTTATTTTTGCTGCTGAGCAAAAAATGATTACAATTTCTATGATTTACTGTATCATATTCTTGGGTGTGTTTTTTTGAGATGCAGCTGCTTTATATTTATGGTCTATAAACCACAGCTGTTTCTTTCTGAGATATCCAAATTGGAAAGATGTGTGGGTTTTACTGTACATTCGAATCAGTAGGAATTCTTCCAACTTCAGCTGTGTTGTGTATGTGTTTTCAAATCACTGTGCCCTTGTCCAATAGGGAGAGTCCTTTACAGAGACATAGCATGAGTTCAAAATGAATATGCATATCAGAAATGTGTATTTATATATATATATATTTGTGTAGATGCATCTATTTATACGTGAGGATAAATAGATGGCAGCATGTCTGTGTGTGTGTATGTGTGTATGTTTGGACTCAATCAGAATGAATACAAATTAAAGCAGTTTTATGAATTGTTATCCATGGAGGTGGTGTCACGTTTTAGTTTTACTGACTACTTTAAGTCGTTATGCATTAACACTGACTTCACAAGTCATAATTGTCATATGATTAACTACTGTAGGTACTCAAGACCTCAGGACTTAAAAGAACAAAATGGACTAACAGATGCTTTGGTTTTACTGTATTTTAGGGACCTTAGAGCCTATAGGCATACCTTCAGTTCTGTTTCATTAGCACACTTGCATTCATTTGACTGGATTTTATGTAATAAAATATAAATAGAATAGAAATATAAGCTCAATACCATATAATAACAAGGATAATCACTTTATTTGGCCAAGTATGTTACACACAAGGAATTTGTTTCCAGTACAGAACCGAGGCAGCCATCTCACACCAATGGTTCTAACCATCGGGGGCAATTTGGGGGTTCAGTGTCTTGCCCAAGGACACTTCGACATGTAGACTGCAGGCACTGAGATTCAAACCTCCAACCCTCCGGCTGGGAGATGACCACTCTACCCACTGAACCCCACTAATAATACATTCTTTTACCATCATTGTATGTGTGAAAGGTTAAGGAATCACCACAATGATTAGAAATCATTTATGGAAATCTGTCCATGGTTGTAATATATTGCTCTAGACTAAACTGTTAGACAGAAAGAAGAACCAACCAGTTGACATTACCATCCAGGCCTGCCAGTAGGACACATCTTTCCACAATGCAGCTGTGGGAGAGAGAGAGTGCATTTGCAAATGTAAATGCAGGATCCAAAAAACATCTGATCAAGTGAGATCGTTCTGAATCCTTAAGATAAAGTTACTTTCCTGGTGCACAGCCAGGTGTCCATTCTGACCAAGCAACTGTAAGCGCTGCTGCAGAATATGACCCTCAATCACACCACAAACAGAGGACTCTCAAACAGCCTACAGCTATCCTTTTGTAATTTGAAGAATAATGAAACATAATTGTCCCAACAACACTCATGTAAAAATGCTTAGAAGTTGCAAATGTGTCCATCTATTTTCCTTGGTTCCTTGGAAAGAATGAAGAGCATGCAAAACAGTGGAGTAGCTATAAATTAACAATAATTGGTCTATTACTTAATTAACAACCTTCTTTATTAACTGTGGGATTATTGTATAGTTGATTAATATACAATATAGTATAGTCAAGTGTATAACTTATTTTTATTTCGAATTTTTAAGGTGTTTGCTTGGGTGTAGATGATCCATTTTTCCAGCTTTTTTGGAGACTGGATATTAGGTTATAAACCGCTATATATCTATACGTAAAATATTGTTAAAAATGTATGCAGGCTGTTCCAAGTAAGGAGAACAAGTAGAGGTAACACCTCTCTGTGTTATCGTCTGTGCATAATGATTGGTCGGAATTTTCAAACAAGAAAATGATTGACTATTATATCTGTCAGTCAATAAAATGACATTCCCAATTGGTCGAAACCAACGATCCTAAGCTCACGTGCTCGTGGGGTGGCCTGCAAGCTGCCAGTGTAGTGTGTGTGTGTGGGGGGGGGGCATTGTTTTTCAATACTTGTGCAGCCCAAAATCCATGGGTTACTATCTTCGTGGGGACCGGAAGTCACTTTGTGGGGACCAGCCGTTGTCATGTTTTATGTAAACGATGGGGTGTAAGGTTAGAGCAAGTGTAGGCTTTGGTTAAGTGTTCGGGTTCGGGTTAAGGTTAGGGTAAGTCTCCTGGAAATGAATGTAAATCTATGTAGGGACCCGGTAAGTGACAAAAACAACGGTGTAATAGTGCTACTGCTACTGCTTGTGGGGAAGTAAGTTTCTTAAGTTTACAGAACTAGTCTTCTGCAATGGGAACCCGAGATGATGAATACGACTACTTGCTCAAAGGTAATTTTGTATTTAAATGTGGATAACTGACCGTGTTTCCATCACGCTGATAAACGTCTGGTGACAGTAGTAGGAAGTAAGCCAGGAATAATGCTAAAGTTAGCTATACTTGGTAGCAACGTGATTATCGATGACGTGACAGCTGCTGGTAACTACTAGCTGTTACAAATTCATCTATTCGACACATTGTGTGTGTGACTATTTGTTTTCAGCAGTGTACACTTTGATCAGATTGTCTAGTGCCGCTAGTGGCTTCATTTTGTATTAGCAGGCTGGCGTTAGATAAGTGAGTAGCTAGCTTGCTAACACTGGAGATATAATTTGTAATACTGTGGTGAATTGCGTTTATAATAAACAATAGGCAGGTGATGCATGATGCATAATAAGGGCCATTGCTATAAAGTCATACAGAATAAAGTCTGAATAGGAATTGAACAAAAACTAGTAACTTATGAAGTATTAAATGTGTACAGTACAGTAGTGCAAAACTGGAGGAAGCAAGGTGCTGGATTGAGTTTGTAAATAACAAAATATGTGTTAATGTATGTATATTCTGTGTTATTGTAATCTACAACGGTTATTCTTAATTAACTTCTTTGCAGGGTTCACTGAAGCTTAAAAGTGTTGCACTCACTGATTTTGTACAAAGCAACAGTGAGAGGAAGACTGCAATCTCGGCCCGTTGTTTCAACATGACACAGCAGGGCTGCTATTCTAATGTTTTTGGTTGCAGTTGTACTAATTGGAGACTCTGGAGTGGGGAAGAGTAACCTACTGTCCCGTTTCACAAGAAATGAGTTCAACCTGGAGAGCAAGAGCACCATCGGGGTGGAGTTCGCCACCCGCAGCATCCAGGTGGATGGCAAGATGATAAAGGCTCAAATCTGGGACACAGCTGGACAGGAGCGCTACAGAGCAATCACCTCAGCGTGAGTTTAGTTTTTTTTGTTTGTTTTTGTTTTAACGTATTATTTACAAGGATTGTGATAACGGGGTAATTTATAGGCTAATATTTCTCACTAAGGATAGCCAAGCAGGTGCTGGTTGAGCTCCTTGGCTTGATGAATTACATGTCTGAGCATCTTCAATCCCAGGACACATTTCTAATTCCATTATGTAATACATAGGTTTGGCTGACATAATGTGACAATGTTAAACATGGCATAGACAATTTAAGGAAGTTCAACATGTAAACATGCAAGTAAACATTCACTTTCTTTGGAAAGCTGCCCAAAATGACGTTCATGCCTGGATTTTGTTTAATTTGGTGATAAATGTTACATGTCAATACACATTTACTGTACTTGAACAGTAAACCTTGACTCGACAGTTTCTTCTCTTGCTCTCCTGTCACCAGGTATTACCGAGGTGCAGTCGGGGCTCTCCTGGTTTACGACATCGCCAAGCACCTGACATATGAGAACGTGGAACGCTGGCTGAAAGAGCTGAGGGACCACGCAGGCAGCAATATCGTCATCATGCTGGTTGGCAACAAGAGCGACCTCCGCCACCTCAGGGTGGTGCCCACCAATGAGGCTCGAGCCTTTGCAGGTAAATCACCAAGTGCTGTCATTATGGACACAACAAATGAGGATTATCTTGGGTAATTCAGGTTTTATTTAAGCAATTTATAAAAAATGCTATAATTTATATTTTTCTGATCCTCAGAAAAGAACACTCTCTCATTTATTGAAACCTCAGCTTTGGACTCCACTAACGTAGAAGAAGCCTTTAAGAACATCCTCACAGGTATGAACAAGGGGAAAATGGTGATAATGTGGAGGTTAATATAAATGTGACTTTTAACTGAACTAAATCACTACTGCTTTCTCTCACAGAAATCTACCATATTGTATCTCAGAAGCAAATATCAGACAGATCTGCGTATGATGATTCTCCAGGCAACAATGTAGTGGACATAAGTGTTCCCCCAACCACGGATGGGCAGAGGGGCAACAGATTCCCTTGTTGCCAAAGCCTGTGACACTTGTATATTCCTTTCCTGTGTGACTTTTTGTCAGCCTTTCCTCTTTTCAGTCAGTCATGCTTGCTCAACATGATAATCTCAGAAGTCTCTGATCCAATATCCTGTAGTTGACATTCCTTTTCAGTGGTTTCTTCTTTGTGTTTCTTCATTGCTGTAATTTGGGCGGAACCCCTGTCTTTTGTACCTTAACAGCCTTGTGAAGTTAATCTTTAAGATGTTGTAAACTGCAGTTTCTTTTTAATTTACCAGCCTTTATGGTCCTATTGACCTGCTCCTGGAGGAACAGTGAGGGATCACTAGACCTGCTGATCAGTGCTCTGAGTGTGTTCTGCTTGCCTCCTTTCCTCAGACCTGTGACATGATCTACTACAGTGAGATCCCAGTTTTGTGTGGATAACCTGATTCTGCTTGTCATGTAATACAGTTATAGAAGAGGAGCTGAGGAGAATATAACTTTGGAGGATTGATGCATACTCACTGTGGAGTTTCTGGCCGCCTCTTTCATTTTGTTTCACTTCTGAGCCCTGTGCCCACTGTGGCATGAAATTAGCATGAGCCAGAGACCAGACTGGCTGTGACTGTCTGACTTAAGTCATGGGCAAGTGTGAAACAGATTAAGTGTTTTTATTTGTATTTGTAAGTGTTTAGTGTGTTAATCTTAGTGCACAGAGATATCAAAGAAGATGGATACAATCAATATCAGTTTTGGGTTTTCTCATTTGTTCAAGGCTACTAAATTTGCAAATCATTGCTGTATTTGACATTCCAGGCTTTTTGAAAGAAATGTGTAAAATGCTGTATAGCAAAATACTGTTCTAGATTATGGTGAATGATTTGTTATTTGTGAAATAATCAGGAACAAGCTCAGTGTTTAGTTCCTCTTTTGAGTTTGCTTAGCTTTCTTGCACTTATGTCCAATAATTTCAGTGGAGCAAATCATCTGATGTTTTTTAAATACACTCAGCATCTTTAACAAGTGACATTTTTGTGTTTCTAAGAGAAGCCATGTTAGTGGAAATTACAAAAATGCGCTTTGTGGTTTCCTTTCATATGTTCCAGCAACCTTTGCTGGCATGTGAATGTGATATCTGTTAAAGGAAATGGATAAAGCTGTGTAATAGCGTTTCAATTGAAATTCAACAAATTGAAACCACAAATGGTTGTTGGTTGGGAAACTGGAACTGAAAATCAGAAATGTAATTTGTCTCTGGTGGTTGGCTGTGAAACCCCCTCCACCCATCTGCTAGAATGTTTTCAAGTGTGATTGATTTGACACATTAAACTACATTGCTGTTCAAACTAATATGGACAACATTGCTGCTGTCTGGCTACTGGCCTACACAAGTATTAGGCTACTAACCATAATCAATTATGAATATTCACTACGCAGTTTTGAGGTCTTTTCTAGGACTACAATAAAATACTGTGGACATAATTTTGTGCTTTTTAACAAAACTCGCTTAAAGACGACCAGTAACGTTTTCAGCGCATTACACAAATCACACACATTCTTGTGGCCGTGTTACGCATGTGCTGTTTCGGTCCGCGCCCCTCCCTTTGGAAAGCTGTTGCTGTTCACAAGTTGTCCAGACTGTGTTTGGCACTCGTCTGCCCTGTGCTCTCTATAGAGTCAGACAGCTGATGATGAGCCTCTGGGGTATATTTAAAGCCCCGGGGAAGCGGAAGCCTGGCCTGCTGTGCGTTATCAGCTGAGAGCTGCTAGCTAGCTCAAGGCTGAACGACATATCATTAGCTAGCTAGCAGTACTGCTGTTAATTCACACACACGTATAAATATGAATAGCGAAAGAAATGGGGGGTTATTGGAGCAGTAATGCCCGCAGCCGTAAGACAACTCTGTAGACGAAACCGGGTGAGTAGACTTTTTTGCGTTCATTTTTACACCAGCTGCACCAGCACTAGCAGCTGACTGTAGCTCCTGACAGCTGGCAGCTAGCAGACAATACAGCTGTGATAAGGCACTGACCACGTTTATTTTCCAGACAATAAAAATGGACAACAGATTGACATCGAGAACAGAATGGCTGCTGGATAAAATTTAGACAGCTGGCGTTTATCTTCTTGATATGTAAAGCTGTGACACTGCTATGTACGTATCGTTGAGATGACACGATACTACACTGTTCCAGACAGTAGTCTGGATCAAAGCTGTCACATCTGGCTACAGCGGTTAACGTTAGTCATGGACGCCCACTTAGTCATGGATGTGTCTCATCGAAATGTAAACATCACATTCCAAAATATTCATTTGTCACTGTTCTGTTACTGTAATGAATAACAGCATTTTAAAGACAGCAGGACAAATAAAGTATATGCTGTAGCTGTTGGCCTCCTATCATCAGTGAGGCAGTGAGGGCAGACAGCTTCTTATCAATCTGCTACACATTACACTCGCTGCCACCGATGAACAAACTCGCTGGATAAGCAGCTGCTTCAGGCAAATTGTCCCACCTCCACATGGACAGGTTTCTTGTAAATGACAAAAAGTCTGTGTGGATTCTCACGTGGCAGGAAATTAATGATGTGTGATGAAACATACTTTCAGATAAGATCTGTTGTAACAACGTTGTGTGTACGTAGATTAAGTCTACATTGACTTTATACAAAATACAATATTGTTCATAATGTTGGGTGCAATTTTAAATATATTTAATTTCATTGATTTTTAATAACCAAACAGAAAATGTTTTACAGCTTTAATAAACATTTTATTTAAGCTAACGTTACCACAGTATTCAAATGACTGTTTTTTTGTTTTAATACCCTGTTGTTCAGTGGTGGACATTTGTTTTTAAGTACAAGCTGCTTTAAGTAAAAGAACCAACACCACAAACATACTGTTACAAGTAAAAGTCCTGCATTCAAAGTTGTAATTAAGTCAAAATATATAAGTATAAGCATTGCCAAAGTGCTCCTTATATAGAAAGACTCATTCAAAAACTATATATTATATTAAAGTATTATAGTTATGGATGCATCAGTGTGTAAGAATCACTTACAGTTTTAACTACTTGAAATACTGCTGGACAACTCTGTATCTGCAAAGTGACTAAAATAAATGTAATGGAGTAAAATGTACAACGTGGCTGTAAGATGTAGAGAAGAGGAAGTACAAAGCAGCATAAATTGGAATTACACAATCTAAGTAACTTAGAATTCTACCCAAGTACAGTACTTCAGTAAAAGTACTTGATATAGGTTATATGAAAAGTCATTGCTTTTCTATCCATTTGTAGAAATTAACATTTCCCAGCTTGTGGAGAACCGAGTCAACCTTCGCCTCTGACCCAGACGCCCCCACCTCCATCTCTGCAGCCAGTGTCTGGCCACTGTAACCATGACGACAGGTGGGTGTTGCCACCTGCCTGGCTCACTGTGTGACTGTGCCAGCAGCACGGGCCTGTGGAAGAGTGTGGAGGAAGCAGGTGGTGAGGGATGCCAGGTGCTCTATGTCACCCAGGTCACAGCCATAGATGGACGGTTGCTGTCCTCTGTGCTCAAACCCATGGGCACACAAAGGTAACACTGACGAAAGCTACGATCACACTACTGACCTGAATGCTCATGCTCAGTTTTGATCTTTTTGCCAGATCCAGTTTTTTTGTTGTTGTTGTTGTTGTTGTTGTGTTGATGGTTCACATTTATGTTTGTAAGTGAGATGTATCCAGCTCTGATTTCAACGCCAATGTCATGTATGTGGAGATTGAACTGAAATGTAACCTGTGCTTAAACAAGAATAACAACATCTGGACCAAGATCTGGTTTGGTTTGTTCACACTTCCATGAAAAGATGAGTCATTGGGAGGGGAAAAAAAAGTCCGATTTGAGTTACTTCAGCAGGTAATCTGAACGTACACTCATCATCTCATGCTGAATGCTTAAATTGTAGCTAATGATAGCCTCCTTGTTCTTCTACTTGTTCTTTATTAGGGTGTGTGTGTGTGTGTGTGTGTGTGTGTGTGTGTGTGTGTGTGTGTATACAGTGCCTTGCGAAAGTATTCGGCCCCCTTGAACTTTGCGACCTTTTGCCACATTTCAGGCTTCAAACATAAAGATATAAAACTGTAATTTTTTGTGAAGAATCAACAACAAGTGGGACACAATCATGAAGTGGAACAAAATTTATTGGATATTTCAAACTTTTTTAACAAATAAAAAACTGAAAAATTGGGC